GGATAACGCGAACGATGCTCCAACCATTTTTTTCCCTACCTTTGCATAGATTTATAGTTACGCGCGTGGAAGAGGGAAAGCGAAGAAATCGATTTCTCTAATCTTCCGCGGCAAGTGCTGCACTATGGGACCATAAATTGCTGCCAGCCGTTACATCGAGTTACATGCCGCCAGGCGTAAAATAAGGAGCCGATAAGCATTGTTAATGGACCGTTTCCAGGCATTCTTTTATTGCATGGAACGATGGAAGAAACGGAAGGACTGGAATTATGATTGTTACGGTTGCATGTACGACCGAGGATGCATTGGAAGTACAGTAAGACCTCGACTTGGACGCGATTCTAATTTATGGCGACGCCGGAGGAAACTCGCAATCAGGGCAGGCAATCCCATTCTGGATGGAAAAATATTCTGAGAGGAATCGCCGTTCTGGACTAAGTTTCTTCGATAGCATTGTTTCGTGACAATGGAAGCAACGCGAGACCGCTGGGTGACTGGAGAACAGTCAGAAAATTAATACGATCTTTCCTGATCCCTACAATACATTTAGTATGTCATCTTTCTTGCTTCCCATAATACATTTGGTATATTATTTTTCTTGTTTCTCACAATGTATTTGACGTATAATCTGTTATGCTTGTTACAGTATATTTGCTACGTGATCCTTCCTCCATGCGATACATTTGATGTACAATCTTTTTTGTTCCTTGCAATACATTTAGTATATTACCCTTCTTTCTCCATACGATGCATTTAGTGTACACAGTCTTTCTTGCTCCTTGCAATAGAATGCACAAACAGGAACCAAAATATGTATAAATACATAATCTAAGGCACAGCCTCGTATCTACCAATCCCCTTAGCCGGAGGTCTCATTCTAACCCGATAAATGAGATACAAGCTAGACCATATTTCCCATTACTCAACCTGTATGAAGTATTCATAGCGGCACGATGCAAAACGCGTCGTTCCCTTTTACAGTAGCCTCGAAACGAAGATTTATCTGGAACAGCTTTCGGTGCAGTCGCCGACTATACTGCTCTCCCGTGAATATAATCCTTTAGCGATTCGAACGACCTCTTACGATTTAATGTCGCAGCTCTACCTTCCAATATCCGTTGTAATATATCCGCTGGGTGTCATTTTCGACGGCGAGATTTGTCGCTGGGGAAGAACCAATATGTAGGAATTGTTATCGACCTCTTCGCCGCAGGTCGCACATTTCGCCCTGATACGTTTCCGAAGAATGAAAGAGAGCTTTTAATTGATTCAACATCTTGCTGAACATATCAGATTTTAGTTGAGGGCTTTTCTCTGTGAATTTTTATGCAGCTGTGTACTAAGAAGTCTTGGATAGCGAGCAAATATACCATTTTAAGGATCTGGAGTACTTAGAGCTTACGTTGACTTAAGAATATAGAGAAAATGGTGCATGTTGAAGGTCTTGAATATTTAGGAAGTATAGCACATTTTGAAAGGCTCGAATGTTTAGATGAAACGATGATCTTGAGTAGTGAAAAATACCTAATACCTTGAACTTTGAATAATTAAACGACTTCGAAATTCTTGAAAACCCCGACTACCTCAACAACACACTACAAATACACATTAACTATCGAGAGTTCCATCATCGAAACCTCTCCCCTGTAAAAAATCCCCACGATTGCAAAGTCCACGCCATCGATCCCTGCTGCTACAGGCGTTCCAACTCTTGTTTAAGCCACGAGGATCTCGCAGAAACCGTGCGAATGCTTCGTCATCGGACAAACACAGAGATCCGCGAAACGTTCGATTAACAAATCCCGCTGATCCACGCAACACGGTCGAATTGAACGGACGGAAACGTAACCGTGGAGGTGCAAACGTAACCAAGGCAGAATTTCCACGATCCATCGCGTTCGATCCTCGCGCCGGATGCAAGGACACGGGGCCGGGGGTGGAGGATTGTAATCTCGGCTACCTCGATACACCCTGATAATATATCCGCGGGGCTGGCCACCTCCTGGTCGCGATACGTTATTGGAAGAATGCCAATATCGATGATTTACCATGAAATCCGCTAGTTATTGCGTGGGAAACGCGGTCTCATTATTTATACGTTATATCGCGTCGATACTTTTCCAGCGAGGCGGCTGCACGGAAAATAAAGTGCTGTCTGCGGCTCGGTGAAATAAGCGATTTTCGCAAGCCCTAACCATGAAGAGCGAGAGGACGATAGAGAGCGGGGAAGCAAAGGAAGGAGAAATCGATGCTGGACAAGCGCCTCGAATTATTGCCGGATGTTTGGCAACCGCATCGATTTACAAGCCTGGGTTCTCTTTTCCTGGCCTGACGACCACGCGGAACACGCGGAAATGGGCGGGGAGTACATTTTTGTATGGTTTTTTTTACCATTTTCTTTGGATCGGGATCAAATAAGGTATAGGGAGAAGAGAGGAAGATTTAAAGAAAGAAGAAGGAAAGAGGGGGGAAAAATATAATAACAGAAGGAATTGGTAAGGTTTGACAAGTACTGTTTTGCAATGTAATTCCAAAATTACTTTTTGATACACTATGTTAAGAATTTATAGGGTCACTCACATCATTGGTCATATTTTGCCATGGAATTGCATCCATCGAGCTCAATTTTTTACGTGTTTCTTAGACCTTATTATAAGAAGGTTTAATATAAAATTTTATTTAAATCCATCAACCTTGGACGAAGTTGATACATTGTACAAGAGAAGACCTTCCATTTGAATACCATGAAGACAAACATGATTTTCGAACAAATATGATTTTGGTGGAGAATCACTGTCCCCTCAACGAAATCATTTTTGTTTGGAAGTACGTCTTCATGGTACACAAACGAGAGGGTTTCACTTGGAGATCAACGTATTTAAATTTCATAGTGGTCCTCTATTATTTAACTATAGTAACTTTGGCATTTCTAGTAATACAAACAAAGAATCATTCGGAAGCTAGAGACAACACCAGATATAATTATGTCGAAGAAACAAGCTCTTAATATTTACGTTAATTGTAGTAAATATTCTTAAAAATATATTACATTTTAAAAGTTTAGAATATTTGCAACATTTTATAAATATTGAATACTTTGAACTTATACTACATGTTGCGTGTCTAGGATATTATCGAAAAAATTTGAGCTTGAATTGAAGACCAACAAAGTGAGTAATCCCAGGAAGGAGTAGAATGGAACTGAATAGGAGAAACTGATAAACAGTGACAGGAAGGAATCAACCTTCTCGTTTTCGTAGAGCCCTGATTTGTAATCTTCTGGCGAGCGCGTTTCCTGAAATTTGATCGTTGCTGAAGGAAGACAGGTCGACGGGGAAGTTGTTTCGCTTATATTACGCCTTAGGGTACCTGCTACAGAATTGATAGAGGATTGACGGGAGCTTGCGTCGAACCTGGATCAGTCGTCGACTGGTGTTTGATTTGGGTCCTCATTTTATGAATATTTACATACTGAAGGCAGATTCTGCGAAGATTCTGGGAAAAAAACTTCCGCTTCTGACGTTAAACAATTCATTGAATAATCAAATATTTCATAAATTCCTAAAGGCACCTCTTGCATCAGGACATCTAAACGTAGAACACTCTCTGATAACAGTATATCGGTGCACCTTTCGTCTTTGTACCATAACGCACCTCTATTATTGTTTTTCTTCTACATTATTTTTATCTTTGTACATTAACCCTTCACACTCCACTGACGCTGCTACGTTGACACACATAATCTGCACCACAATTGAGTTCAAGTTTGATTTATGATAGAATAACGCGAATTAATGAAATAATTAAACGAAAGTTAAATTAAAAGTTGAATTAATTTTCTTGTTCTGTTCACCAAATATTTAATTCCACTTGTGTTTATATCCTTGGTTCAATAAATACCTACTGATATTATTAATATTACTGTCATTTGTCGATACCGAAATGTTTCAACTGAAAACACAAATGAGAATAGCATGAAAACTTTCATCCTACTAGAAGCTACTATCCTGAGCCTATCCTTATTTTACCTTGGTTAATTTCATTCAAGAAGATCTCACATTTGGCCACGTGATATTGACTGATTTTTGTAAACTGGCTAAAGTCAGTCATCGTTGGGCGGCGTCGAGCAAAAAACGTCGAGAGGGCTCGAAATTGTTTGAAATTGATTGATTCCGTGCGCGCCATTATGCGCGATCGACGAACGAACGCGCACGCTTTTAATCCGACCCTCTCTCTCTCTCTCGCGATATGTATTCCATATATTTTTCCATACCAATGACTCCGAGTGTTTTCACTATATGACCGTGCCAGGATTTAATTAAATTGAAACCCATTGTGCAAATACCGTAGTCGAGACTGGGAAATTGAAAGAGTAATTGATCCACCAATAGAACCTGGAATGAATCGCGCCAGGATTTTTTTTTAGCCAAGTTTTACAAAATTGTCCACGCTCAGTGGTTATTTGACGCGAACATTTCTTTACTCTGTCATTTATACGGCACGAATAATTTTAATTAGATAGATTTTAGTTAGATGGTTGACAATCAATACGAAGTTGAAGCATGTTGATCTACAAGAGAAGGTTTTTCGTTTGAGTACCATGATGACGTACTTTCGAACAAACATGATTTGGTGGAGAATCATTGTCCGTTCAACTAAATTATTTTTGTTTAGAAGTACGTCTTGATGATACTCAAACGAAAGGATTTCACTTGGAGATCAACATATTTAAACTTCATAGTGGTTCTCTATCATTTAATTCTAGTAACTGGCATTTTTAGAAATACGAGAGGGAAATCATTCGGTGGCTACAGACAACACCAGATATAATCGAGTCGAAGATATTAGCTCTTAATATTTACATTTTCTTGATATGCTGAATGTATCTTTACTTTTTTAGTGCGTTAAAGTATTCTTTTCTTTTAATCTGTACTTGAAATCTGCGCAGTTTTAAGCATATTATTTTCGCACAGCACACATTATTATTCCACACTTCTTACCTGGCCAATTCTCTCTGAAGGTGATGGACTCTGGAACGTGCTCTTTCAGCTTCAGCCGTAGCCTCGCGTACCCGAGCTTCGGCCTCCATTCGTTGTCGTCGTTCGCGTTCCACATCTCGTTGCGTAGCTTCTCTCTGCAACAAACACACCAATTGTCTGGTTAGTTAAATATGCATTTAAATAACTGCTGGACTCGTGCGCAAATTCGTAATTGTTCGTTCAATTATCGAGCTCTCGAATCAGGCTCTCGTTCGAGTACCATAGAAGCATATATTCGAATAAAATTAATTTGGTCAAAAAACCAGTCGTTCTCAAGTAAATTATTCTTGTCTGAACGTATGCCTTCATGCTGCTCAAACGAGAGGGTTTTTCTTGGAGAACAACATACTCTAGTCTCACAGTGGTTCTCAGCCATTTAAGATATATTATTTGGCTTCATTTAGCATCTCACTGTTTAGTTTAAATTTTTAGTGGACTAACATGTCTTCCAAACTCTGTGTCATATTAATCTCTCATATTAATATTTCTCATACGCCTCCCTTCTCGCACAAATTCAATTCAGTTCAATCGGACTAGTTTACCCCTGCGTAATCGTGAAACGTCCCAGTGCCCTCCATACCCACACCCAGGAGCTCGTGCTCGCCATTTCGTCTTATTCAGATGCAAATTTCTAGCTTTTCAAGGATCATTGATCTTCCCTCGATGCACCCAGCACATCTTCCTTTTCGCAGATGTTCATCGAGTTATGCGAATTCGCTTTCCCCCCGTCGACGCGATAATTTCCAACGCTCTTTTCATTCCTTGAACTTCCACGGGAGTCCGTCGAACTTTATCGAGACATTGTCGACGCTTTTCAGCTCGGGCGAGCATGAGCTTCCAGTTTTATTGCCGCGGGGGGACGTCCGACGGGACGCGAAATGAATCGTAAAAAAAAAGAGGAGCTTAACGAGCAAATAAAACTTCGCTCAGGACTCTTCCGGGCAAATACATACGTGCTATTTACGATTCCCTTCCTGTCAGGAAAACGCTGCGATCTGCAACGATAACGGGGGCCCTCCCGTGGCTCTGGCTTCCGGTTACGTTACATCCGTCCAGGATTCGTTCTAAAAAGCGCCACTGCGAATTCCACGTCGACTGGGAACGAGATTTTTTACGGGGTCGAATCGGAGAGAATGGGCGAAGGCCATTTAAACATTTATTACACTGCAAAGTGTTTAAGCTTTATTTTTAGGCGTCGGTGCTGTTGAAGGTTGCTCAATACAAATTGTAATTAATACAATGCTGAATTCATGAATTTATCGAATGTAGTTTAGGTGTTGCTGAACGTTATTTAACAAAAATTGTAATTAATACGCTATATATAAATATATAAATTTATAGAATTTAGTCTACTCTGTTTTTACATCGTTAGTGATACCTTGATGATTCAACTTTTAGGTCCTTTTATTTTTATTTCGAAATTGCAGATTACTGGATATTTTTCATTTTTAAAGTTTTGTTACTGTTTCAGTGTGCCTATTAAAAAATTTGGTTACCACCGACGTAAATTGTATACGATTCATCTCCGTGCATGTATAATTCACCGACTCTCCCACGCCGATTCAATGTAGAATCCGATACGCTCTCATATTGATACCACGGTCGGATTAATCTCGCCTTTTTCCGCGTTGGAACAAAAATAAATTGGTTCGCGGAGAATTATTCGACGCAATTTTTATCGTATATCTTAATACTCGTTCGTGTAACGATTTTATTTCTATTTTTAAAAGCCGATGGAAAAACTGATTGAGTTTGAAAACGTGGCCCCAAACGCCTGTGTCTGGCAGTGTCACGTGTTCCCACTGTTCGACGGGACGTCCTGTCGATGCAAAATGACGCGCTCCAAAATTACTGAAGTCTTCCACGAAGCTCGTTTCATTATGTAATTAAAGACTTTAGGAAATGGGACTCTTCAAACTTGAATTGTTCATAGAAAATTTGTGAAATCGTTATTGATATTTTTAGTGTAGTTACTTTGAAATTTATTGAAAAGGGAGTAGAGCCATTTAAAATTATTGTAGAGGGAATACAAATATTGGAAAGTATTGGTGGTTCTCCCAAGCATTGAATTTATATGCTTGTTTACAAATTTGTTACACTTTGAAGCTACACAAATGACTGAATGTATTTGTAGAAAGATTGAAAAAGTTGAAGTTTAGTATTAAATTTTTAAAATATATAAAAATACCTTAAGAATTTTAGCCTACACAGAACAATTTTTCAAAACCCTTGGAGACTTTAATGCTCCTCATTAGTCTGCTCAAATCCAATTCTGTTTATGACTACCTAAAGCTAGTAAAGATACATAAATTTCATTTTACAATTTCCTCGATCCCCCTCTAAGGATTCAATGTTCAAGGAAACTTTATATATCGGTTCTCTCTTCGAGGAGCCAGGGAATTAACCGCTGTTCAAGGTCGTTGCAATCGAGAGGCGCTCTATTAAAGAGAGCCAGGTGAAAGGCGTTTAGGCGAGAGTCTGGACGAAAGATATCGCGGAATACAATCTGGTAAAAGCCGACTGACCACCGCACGGAGGGCTTAAGGGATGGTCCTCACGGATTTATGGAGCCTTAAATCCCGACGAACGTTCTCCACCACCCCGGCCCGCCATTCTTCTTTTCTAGGGGAGTTGCTACTCCCTGTCGGAGCTGTAATGCGATCTTCTTGTCCTTCTTTGCGAATTGCGAGTCGACGAAACGCCGGGCGAGGGAGGATTGCTGTGGAAGCCTGCTCGAGGGTCGAGGAAGTTGTCGCGTTTGACTTTGGAACTTTCGCTTTCTAGACGAGGATTTGAATGGATGCGGATGCGTGGAAGGTTAAAAGGAATTCCTCCGCACTTTTCCGCAGCTTGCCTTCCGCGGAGACCTTCAATTACTTTTATGGACGTCCAAAGAGCTTCTCCGAATAAAGAAATATTTAGAAATCAAAGATATTACACGCTTGTCTAATAATTCTTCTATTCAGAGAGCTATATCGAGTTAGTTTGTAGTAGGGTTTTCGATTTATCATGTTGTTATTTCGATTTTTAAATATTGGCAATATCTAGACTGCGGATCTTTATGCATTTATAGGAAATTTGAATGTACAAGAAACTACAAAATGCAAAACAATATGCAAGAATATAAAAAAGATTGAAAGTAAAGTTCATGTTAGAATATGTGCAGAATAAAATAAATTCCTATTTAGGTTCAATTTTTGTAGGCACGTTCGCGAAGATTTTATTTTGCATAAAGATCCGCGATCTAGTAATATCACATAACATGTGTATTCATAGGCTTGAGTCATCTCTAAATCTCCAAATTATTACAAATAAAAAACAAGAAGTTTCAACTTTCAGCTTTGAATATATGAAAAAGTACTCTACCTATTTTCCCTTATCAAAAATAGTATTCGCTTACAGTGGATTATTAATAAAGTTCTTCTCAAACTTCAAAAATTCCAAAGAAAATCCTTCTGCTCAATCTATTATTGAAAGCAGTTCATAAAATTATACTACCCTCTATATTTCTTATTTATTGTATTTGAATTTTATTCTCCGCCAAAATACATAGGAATGAATCGTAACATCGAGCCCGTCTTTCGACTAAAAGATTGCTTTTGTTTGAAACTCTGTCCCCGAACGAGATAACGTTAAAGTTTCACTTACGTGCGAAGGGAAAAAGATAAAGTTAAAGCCGGAAGAATTGAATTCCTCGCCAACGGGACGTCCCTCTCTTGCTTTTCATTTTCTTTTATTCCCTTCGATTCGAAACCCGCGCGCTAGACTGTTTCTATTATTTAATCATTCGAGTCAAGTGATTCCACCTATGTCCATCCTCTCTAGTACTCATCAACATCACTCCGCGGATTTCAATCATCGAACGTTCTAATTCACTTCAACGATCAATCCGATCTCTTTCATTCGCTTTCACTCGCAGGATGCCTCACGCGGTTAAGTTGTTTTCACTAGTGATTCCATTATTTTCACCCCTTTCGCTACCACCTCTTGGAATTACGCGCAGACCACTCTCGTTATTGAATATTCATGCAAAAATTATGGCTCTTTTATTTGCTATCATCCGCCAGAAGAGAACTTTCAATTTAGTTAATGTTGTAATTAAATATTATACTTGGAGAAGCTTTCTTTCCAATATATCGACTAACTTTTAGGCTGAGTTAAGTAGTATCTTTGAGGTATGCTAATCCCTGAATTTTTAACATAACTAAATTTACGAGAGCTTTTCATAAGTAAATTTTGATTATTTTAATAACGTATTCCAACACAATTTACGTCTGATTAAACGACAAAATCCGAAAGGGCCGTTGGGAAAACATTTTAGTACAGCTATTTACAATTAATTAACAATCTACATATTTATAAAGGAATAATAATTCAATTACTCGCAAAGAATAATTCCGAAACGTGTGTTTAATACAAAACTGCGTCTCGTTTAATACGATGATTTCGAATCGAGCGTTTGTTTAATAAATTTGAACGAAAACACATCACTTGGCGTTGCAAATTCTATAATTTTCGTTTATTTTACGCGTTTAATCGCGCACAATACCAAACGCGCGAAACGGTTAAAAGCAAAGAGAAGATTCCGCGAATAAATAATATCGTTGCGAGCGTACAACTGTCGGCGCCGATAATAATCGGTTTCGAATGAATAATTCCACGTTGTATTTTCTCAGTCGTCGAACCGTCGAAACAAAAAAACAAAATTCGATAGTTCGGTAGTCGTGTTAAGCCACCCGAGAGGGGAGGCTTAACATATTCTAAAACGGACAGCATCGCTTACACAACCAGCGTGTAGGGGGACCCACGTCGATCGATGGTCGCACGTGAGTTTCATCCGTGACACGTGCATCGTGTGAAAAATTTACGCTCGTAACAAGATTCAACGGTGAACCCATCTCGAAAGGATTCGCTCGTCGATTGTCGCAAATCTTCCCAAAGCGTTTCGACGGCCTTTGTTCTTATCTCTTCATTTTCAACCTCCTAGTATTCTGAATTTTTTTAATGTCGAAGGAGAGGAGAAGAGAGGAATTGAAAGGAGAGGCAATTTTGTGGTAACGTTTGTGAGACTTAAAGTGTGTAATTTTAAAGAAAA